AAGCCAGTATCGGAAACGCTTGCAGACGACGGAAAATTTAGCGTTAAAGGAACCGGAACGGTAAAAATAATTGGCTCAAACAATAGACACAAATCCATGATGGAGATGCTGATTATTTCTGGACTTGACAGACTTTTGATGTCAGTAGGATAGCTTGCCGAACGTGAGTTATTTGTAAAATTTCGGCGTGTACCGTTTGAGTCAAGGATTGTGCTATAGCAACTGGGACAAGAAACGGTAAGGCTCACACGCTGAAAAGTCAGCAAAAACAGGCACGATCGGTGCAATAGTAAGGATCTTATAGTTAGTGGGAGCTATGGAATGATCGCCCAAGACATTATTTTGATGAAGACCTTACGTTCCACAAACGATATGCCTGCGCTGAAACAATACATATTTTACCTTGTGTGATGGCTATATGGAAGGTAAAAAATAAATTGAAGCATTCTCAAGACCCTCTGTAACAAAGACGTCACGCTAGTTGGAGCGATTGCGCATGGGCGCAATGAGACGCAATTTTAGAGACGAACCTAGCACAGTTTAACGTTTGTGGATGCTTACTCATGATATATGGTGGTATATTTTCTTGCAAAATAGAGTGAAATTTCCGAAAAGATAACGATGATTAACGCACTTTACAAAAATCAATGGGGATTTCACATCAAGTGCTTGTACTCGGACAACGAAATGGAGTTCGTGACCAGACAATCACGGAATGAAGTTAGCGGAACGGCATTGTGTACCACAAACGGTATCATACAGCTTCCAGACGTTTCAAGGATTATGGTAATAACCACAATTTTTCTTATGGTTGTGCATATTGATCACGGACATAATGATAGTCGTTATTGAAAAAGATAAGTCAGATTACAATTAGTAGTCTTAAAAGGTGGCACTGAGAAGCTAATTTAATTCCTTATATTTTATCTTTTCGACATTTTTTATGGCATTCTAAGATGGCAACGTAGATGGCGAGCTGCTTTACACGTTTACTCATTAGAATATCCTTAACAATTTGCTTGCGTGTTCAGTAGCTACATGCTTTAACTAATTCAATAAAAGCGAATATTCGATGCATTTAAGAGCTAATTTGCAATCAAATTTTGCAGTTGTAACGCAAATTTTTCACACTTGCCAGATGAGAGAATGCCGGCCATTAAATCAAAAATAATCATTAACATTCTTGGTGATCAATTCTTATTCAGTGTAACAGCACCCCGTTGTGGTTAGCAAAATATGAGAAAGTTCATTAAAGCTAGAATAAAAGCCAATACACCAACACTTAGTTATGTACCGTTATAAAAACAGCAAACGGTGACATACAACGGCTGTTTTGATGTTCGTAAACGCTATATTGTTGCCTTTCAGTCTGAGGAGAGTACCATGATATATTACCATGATTGCAACGGGAATACCGTGCACATTGCTTAGAGAAAAACTAACTCTGAAGCCCGTCGTTTTAAACAAGCTAATTTAAGTTTATACGCTCCACCTTGAAGCGGACCCGAGAGCCTCTATCAAAGGTGAGTCATCGCTAACCTCTGTAATTTCAATGGTGATATTTATTACTAATTCAGAAATAATATCAAATATATAGATTGCACCCAATCTAATAATAAAACTGGTCTTATTGCTCAGCGTGTGGCTAGTAGGCCTTGAAAAGATGTGGATCACACTTGATCTTATACTTTTGTCTTGTTATCTTTGAAAAACTGATCAAAGTTAAAACTCGACTAGCCACCATCGAGTTGATGTCTACCTTCACACTCAGCACATTACCGCGTCTGCTCATCAGAGTAAATCCAAACTGGGAACCCATTGTGAGCACACATTCAGTAGCCTAAAAAGGTCACAATTCGCGATTTTTTCCTGCCTCTCGCATTGGCGTGTGGCTATTATGCAACATGGATCGCTTCCGGGGCTACGCGCACCCGGCGCGTTACTCTGAAAATCATTGAGATGTAACTACAGCTTTGCAACAAAGTGTAACCCGGCTGCTATCAGCATGTCAAATTTGATCGACAGCCCACCCTCAACATACCCGGAGCTATG